ATGCTGCACTGATGAGGGGGCTGCAGTCTGACAAGGGGTCCCCCATGGCTTGGAGGGCGAAGGAAAGTCAGGCTATGTTTTCACCTACAAACATTCACTATCTCCTCATGATTTCCTTTTTTTTTTACGGTTTATGGTCATACTTTTCAACAAGCTGTTTCACTTTTGTGATTATTGCAAACAAAGGGGACTGTACCAACCAAAATGCATTATATAAAACATGATTTTAAGTAATCCTTCCTATTCAAACTTTAAATAAAATGTTAAGAAGGTCAAAAAATAAGACGAAACTGGTCACAGACATAATTTATTGTGAGTCAGTGAAGATTCAAGCTTATTTTTAATTAAATATAAAAATATAAAGGCTGATAATGTTAATACAAATGTTTAATAATAGATAGATTAATATGGTATCCACAGGGTAAATAATGGATGGATACACATCCACAGCACATATAGTAAAGAGTAAACTCACCTTGATGCTTCCTCTTCAGTGCTTAGTTCCTTTTCTAATAACAAGAAAAAAAACAACATCTTGAATTTGTTCAGATGAATTGCATCATTTCAAGCCATTAATCCATTTTATCCTTTAAAATGGTTTACCTTGACTTGTGCATGAATCCTCATGTTGCTGGCCGGCAGCAAACCATAAAGTAGTCCATAAAGTGAGAGGACATTAACTTTCATCTAGTCCGTCTGTAACTCCTCTGTCCCCTCCGTACCTGCTGGGTTGAGGGCAGGCTCGGCCCACAGCGAACGTTCAAAGTTATAAACGGTTTTTGAGTCCAAAATGTCACCTGTTGCAGACACTGTGCTACAAAGACCCAGAGGCCCTTTGATATGAGTCAGCTTTGAACAGTTCTCATCTGCCTTGTGACCACCGTCTGTGTTCAAACACTGGCAGAGGGAGACAGATGACACGCACACAAACACACTGGATTTCATATGCACACACATTAAGACACAGCAGCTCATTTGTATCTAAAAATGCTCTTGTTCTGTCTTTTGTATTTGCCTGTTTTTGTGTCTTTTGTTCTCTGCAAAGCACTGAGCAACTGTTGTGTTAAATAGATAAATCTGACTTGAATGATTTCAAAAAAGAGGGAGAGTGGGAGAGACCAGGAAAGCACTTGAGCAACCCTCAAACATCAGACATGCAATTAAGTCAAACAGCAATTAGTTGGAGCTAATAAAATTAGCAGCAAGCATAAGCAGCAGGAAAGCATATTAATCACATTTTTCCTACATCCTAAACATGCAAACATGTCGTGAATGGGCATGAAACAATACTAAAGCCCCCTTGTGAAGTGCATTTCGAAGTATTTTTCCATAGCTGTGTGTTTACTGGTGTGGACATCAGAGTCATACATATTGTGTCTCACCTGGTGTGTGCTGTTTTGTAAATTGTAGTTTTTTCCAATTAAGCAGTAACTTAAACTCTAATTACACTGTTAATAACATACTTTTTTATTTAAGGCTGAATGTAAGACTTTTACTTCTATGTGGACTTCCAGAATATCACATATTTGCCCTCTTTCCACCTCTGTTAGTTATTATTACTGACTTTCTAACAATATTCAACCCAGGGGTTACCCTTTGAAGAGTTTTTATAGCGTCAATATGAGAAGTGGAAACTGAGGGGATAAGTTCTATACTCGTCATAGCAACACTGGATGAGAAAAACACCCGACTGAGCCTCTCAAGCCAAATTCTGTTGTAATATCCTCTACAGCCAAAATCTACAAATAAAAGGCAGAATGAATAAATGATTAACATCCACAAACAGGTAATGACTTTTCCATATTAGATTCAGTTCCCAGGACTGTTTCCAAAACAGGAACCAAAAGCAGAAGTCAAATAAATCTGTGTTGAGGCTGATACACCTGACCAGAGAGACCAGAGGTTACCAACAGGGTTTTCCAATCCCAGATTTAAATTAACCAAATTAGAAAAAGCAAAGCAACAAAAGCAATTAGGAGCATAGTAAACGCATATTAGAATCTGGCACATGGGATCATGGTTTAGCAAAAAAACAATTTACAGCAGCCATTAAAATCTATTTTCCCACAGTCGAATGCAACCGCTGTATTTCATTCTTTTCATATGGTATGAGGAAACATTTGAAATGTACTCCTGTTGTTCAAGCACACTATACATCAAGTCTGCACTGATTTTTTATCAATATTTTATTATACTTACTAACTTACTGCACCACAATACATTTAATTAACAAAGCAAATCAAAGTGCTATACAAGGCATTAAGAAAATAGAGAAACACAAAGAAATATAAAAAAACATATGAACAGGATTTTAAAATAAAAAGCAAAACTGAATACAACAAACTGAGAACAGAAAGGTTCTTAAAAGACAAGGGTTGGACCAGACCTTCCAGGTGCATGAAAACTGAACAGTGTTTGTCTGTACTTAGTTTTGACCCTGTGGGCAGCAAATCTGGCCCAGCCAACCAATTAGGTCTGGATGGTTCATAGGATATCAGTTTTTAGGCCTTTGCATTCATCAGTTTAACAGAAAGCCAGTGCAAAGATCTGACACCTGCAGTGATGCTCCATTTTTTGGTCTCAGTGCAGACTATAAAAGCACCGCTCTGAATAAACTGACTTTTTTAGTGAGACCATTACGGCAGTCGGCTGTACTAAAGATAAAAGCATGGACAGTTCTTAGTCTTGCTGAGACATAAGTCTCCATTATATAAGTGAGACAACTGGATGTGTATTGACATCTGGGGGTGATTTGGCTGTGATAAAGTGTGCCGGATAGACAGGGTTACACAGGGTACTTCCCAGAACAAATCAGGGCGGGGCTCTCTCTGAGGGCAAGAACCAGTGTGCCAGGTGCCAAGACTAAAATGCATGATGGTAATCAATTGGTAAGTTGGTCTCTGTAGTTTGCGTAGATTAAGTCTGGGTCGTTTATTGTTCCATAAGAATTTATTGCATAGGGTTCAAAGTTGCACTTGACCAAATCAGCCAAAATTTGGGGGGAATGTTATTCCTAAGTACATAAAGCCCTTCTTTGGTCCACTAAAATTACCTGACTGGAAGAGTGACTTAGGGCAGTATGTTGTTAGGGGGAGTGCTATTGATTTTGGCTAGTTAACATCCAGAAATGTTTGAAAAACTGTCAACTATCTTCAGCAAAGAAGGTTCCAGTTCTGAGACAAAGAAGAGAATATTGTCAGCATATAGTAGTCGTTTTTTCCTGTTTTTAAAGTAAAGATTATATTCATAAAGGGGAGGTATCTTCAAAACCTCTCCTGCACGTTGATAAAACTTTAAAAAAGGTTACTGTAATCCATTACATCTCTCCGTTTACAAGGAAGAGGATCTATGTCAGGTACGTATCATTTAGTAAACTATCCTTTCAGTCTATTAGTTCACATGTTTTCGCTGCTTTAAAACGTACATCTAAGCTGAATATTTTGGTGACACTTACATAAGCCGATTACATTGTTTTATTCTGTATCAATGGCTGTGCCTTTTTGCTATTTCTGTTCTGTGCTTCCTGTTATTAGCATAATTGTTGGGTCCTATCTATTCTTCTTCTATCTATTCTTTCTAT